TTGATTTTATATAATAAATAACAATAGGAAAATGTAAGGTGGGGTGACACAGTTTAGACACAGCAGTGCTTATAGACAATATTGAATTTGTCTTACTAGACATTATTAAATGCACATAAAATTTAATCCAAATGGATCCACTCGTTCAGAAGGAGGTAGTTAACAAATAGTACATAAAAAATAGATGTGCCAATACGCACATCTAATTTTTATGTACTATTTGTTTAATTAAGATATACTTGTTCCTATGTACATATCTGCACATATATATACATATAATCTATGACACATCTGCATATTACTGTAGTCTAACAGTTTAGCGTAAGATATACTTGTTCCTATGTATGTAGGTACAATATATCTGCGTGTTAGCTAAGTGTAGCGGTTTAGCATACCTCTATATTTCCAATGGTCGCTTTGCTCTGGCTGATGGTGGATTTGTACCAATACATATAGTATTTACACGTACGACGATCTATGTTTTTAGTTAATTAAGACTATTAATTAAATAAGTCATTCGAGTATTATTATTATTATTATTATTATTCATTGATTTATGTCGCGTACAGAAAAGCACCAACAAAACGCAACACTGGCGTTGTGATGGCGGATTTGTACCAATACATATCGTACGTATTTTTTGTCCACTCGACCAAATTTGTAACGTGAGACGACGATTCTCTATGTTTTTAGTTAATTAAGACTAGTAAAATATAATTAATTAAATAACGAGTCATTCATGGTGGGTGGGCAGTATGTTGGTAGGGAGCTATATATTGGCGGTATTATTATTATTATTATTATTATTCATTGATTTATGTCGCGTACAGAAAAGCACCAACAAAACGCAACACCAAAGGAGCGTTGTGATTGGAGCGCGCACCCATCCATTTCATTCGCTACATAATGTACTGATTTTCATAATTGTAATCTATCGTACGTATTTTTTGTTCACTCAAATAAATTTGTAATCTTATAATAGTTTTACCAAATAAATTTGAGAAAGTAAGCAAATCTATAATTTCTACACTCCGTAATCTGCTGAAGCCATCATCACGGTCCAATTTAATTAATGAATGAATGGATGAAGGAAACTCTATTGTTCCGCTCACATAAACTATAGTTACATACACAATTATGTATACAATCATAAAAAAAAACACAATAATAAACAAGACAAAGAGGTAACAATGGGCGGCCTTATCGCTAAAACGCAATCTCTTCCAGGCAACCTTAGGACGGAGAGATATTTAGATTTTCGTCTGGTAGAGGTGTAACGATGGTAACAATATTGGAAGAAATGTTATTAATATAAGTATACATATAAAATATTCATAGCAAAGTATTCATTTTTTTTTATTAAATTATATAGAATAGAATAGTTCAGGAATTTGGGTAGTATAAATAAAAAAATATCTATTTGTCGACGATCAATAAGTTTATTCATTTACTTAATAACATTTTTAGTTTTTACCTATTTACACAACCGTATCCAATTATTCCCGAGAGCTATTTGAAACAAATTCTCTTACTTAATATCAGTAATTATAATTATACAACTTACAAAATAACTTATACAACTATATTTTTACTATAATTACATTTATATTATATAATTATATATCATATTTTAATTAATAACTTTCAATATTTAAACTTTAACGTAATCTATACTAATATTCTTTTTGTAATACATAAAAATTAATAAAATTATTGTGATAAATTATTGAATATGTCTATTATAATTTTATTTACAAAAATATTTATAAAATAAATAACTTGAAGTTACCTTATAGGTTTACTGTATAATTATAATGAACAATTTATAGATCATATTGATATAACTCTATGGCCTGTAATCATTCTAAGATGACTACTAATATTAAATGAACTAGTGAATGAAATTTACATTTTCGCGCCAATACAGACCAATCAGTTGTCATGAATTTCAAATCGAGCCATAAACATTTTAATTCGTTAAGAGAAAAGTAACAAAAAATATTAACACATGTAATATTTTTATTGGTCTAATTTTCGTTTATCAGTCACATAATTGCAATGAAGTTTGTCATGTAATTTATTTCTATATAACTTGATTGATAAACAAATCAACGGACATTCGCTGTTATATATGAACTGCAACATGGGCACCACAAAATACTTTGGTAGATATATTAGGTAGATATATACTTTGTTAATAAATAGATCCTGTAACATAGATATTACAATGTATAGATAGGTATCTATCTGTAACATGGACATTACAATGTACTTTGGTAGATAGATATATAGATCTACCTCACAATATACTTTGGTAAATAAATAGATAGAGCTAACTGTAACATAGACATTACAATAGACTTTCGTACATAGATAGATAGGTATCTATCTGTAACATGGACATCACAATATACTTAGATAGATGAAGTTTGTCACAGTATATTGTAATTTTTGTTCTATATAACTTGATTGATAAACATATCGACAGATATGTTGTTGTTATTTGCTGTTATATATAAACTGCAATATGGGCATCACAATAGTAGATAGATCTAACTGTAAAATGGATATCACAATACACTTTGGTGTAGGTAGATAGATATATCTAACTGCAATATGGGCACCACAAAATACTTTAGTAGATATATAGATAGATCTACCTGTATCATGGACATCACAATATACTTTGGTAAATAAATAGATAGAACTAACTGTAACATGAACATCACAATATACTTCGGTACGTGCCTCAGAAGTTGTCATTTTGCAAAACCTAATTTTACTGTACTAACTCACCCAATATCTCACGCAGACGCGACAGAATTAGATGAGATGAGACAGAAGTACCCCACTCAGATGACTTTGCACAAAGTGTCTCTCTGGCGTGTGTTGTTAAAAGTGAATGAGTATGAAGACGGTTTTGTTGAATACAAAATGTAAGTACATGTCCTCAATTTCTCATTTAACATGCATTTCGTTCCGCTGCGGTGCAACGAAATGAGCATTTTGATGTAGAATCCTTTGTTCAAATTCATTGTGACTATTACATTTTCATATTCCAGAGAGTGGCAAATAAGCTGACAGCTCACATAATGGAAATACCGTTATCTGTACCGTTGCCTGTGATTGTAACAGGCATGCAGATAAAAGAAATTAGTCGTTATTTGACGGCCTCGGTGGTCCGTCCGATGGTCGCGGGTTCGATTCATCGCACGGTATAAACATTCATGAGTACGGTTGTTTGTATCGGTTTGGGTGTTTTCTATGTATATTATGTATTTACAAAAAAAAGTTTTTATATCAGTAATCTAGTGCCCATAACACAAGCTCTGCTAAACTTGGGACTAGATGGCGCTGTGTGAATTGTCCAAGGACCTTTATTTACCACTAGTGTGCCCGCGATATCGTCCGCGTGGATTTTAACTTTATTTTTCCAAAATAAAATATTTCTTCTAAAATAAATGTAGCCTACTACATCAGCTACCTGCCAAAAAAAAGTCCCGTCAAAATCGGTCCAGCCATTTCAGAGATTAGCCGGAACAGACAGACATACAGACAAAAATTAAAAAAAATGTAATTTTGGTGTAAAGTACCGTATTTAAGCATGCATGCATGCAGCATGCATGTAGAAAAGAACGGCTATTTCAATATTACAAACAGACACTCCAATTTTATTTATATGTATAGATTAAATTCGTTCTTAGACCGGATTAACAATATAAATAATGTTAATAAATATGTTTTACAAAAACCTTATTTTGCCAAATGACAGTATGACTGAAAATCAGTACTATTCATATTAGTATCTATTTTCTAAACATTTTTAGCGATATTCATAATAAAAAAAAACAAATCTATAAAACTGACATTTGATTGACGGATCGTGAATGACGCTATAATACTAAAATCTGTGACAATTAAAATTTATGTTTTAAAAAAATTAAGATGAAGTCGTAGATACTGATATAACTTTTTTTTTATAGTTTCTAAATAGTGTATTTAATCTATATCTGGATGTTTTTTTTACATATAAATGAAATGTTATGGTCACAGACCCATTGGACCCTTGAATCTTGGCCTGTGTGTCCTTTGAAGGAGTACAATTATTTTATAAACCCACTTGCATTTTATTAGAGTGATTTTAATATGAGCATGTTTTTAACGGATTTTTAAACGCAGACGAAGTCGCGCGCGTAGCTAGTATTTAGCTGACCTGCGTAACTTCGTATAGGTTACATTTACCCCTTACTTGTAAGATTTTCTAGTCTCTACCATACTGTGATAGTACATTTACTATCACAATGAGTGAAAATACTTTAGTATATGGATAGCCCTATTCAACACTAAAGTATTCTCAAAATCGGATCAGTGGTTCCGTAGAATACCTCAAATTCACAAATATTTGTTTATAATATTAGTATGGAGGAGAGAATCACAGTCATCACAAAAACAATCCGTTGTTACTAATGTAGACTGTAGATCTCATTGCAAACAAAGTACCATGTCATGTTTACTTCCACTCGATTCCCGCTGAAAACTGATAAATTCCTGGTGAATTTACCACGATGGGCTAACTAACCTGACCTCATACTCATCTTATCATGCTCCACTAGTGCCCTTACAGCGTAAACCGTTATTTAAGACGAGTGCATCATTACATTATCATTCATTAAAACATATATCAGTATGAATTGAAAAAGTTTTTATATGTTTTACTCAAAACCCAAATATTATTCCGTACCTAGTAAAATTAACATTACCTATACGTTCCGTATTCCGAACTTCCTTAGTCTAAGCATGTTGCATCACTGGTTTGCTTACTGGTGCAAAGAGCGCTCGTAATACTGGCCACAAATAAAAATATGTGGCCACTTAAATTTCGAATATAGAAGAAAAAACAATTGAAAATGAGAACTGGAAGAAAAAGGACGCTCTCTTTTCAAAGAAGAAAATTATTGAATTTATTATAATATAATTGTTTTTATGAAAATATACATTGTAGAGTGCGTGGCCACTAAACTGTACTACACATCGGGATGTTCCTGAGCGAAGGTGAGTAAGTTTGGTGTTACTTTGCTTACTTTGGGGTGTGGAAGACGTTCTTCCTAGGCGAATCGTATTTCTCCTGCCTTTTCCATAAATTTTTTCCTTTCAAAAATACAGTCCAATTTCTATTTTTATTAATTCTTTATAAGGATTCGTAATACAACACTATACATTATGTCAAACTAAATGGGATACTTAAGAGCGCAAGATTATAAAGGTCCAGTAAATCTGATATCATTGTGACGTCAGAACACATGGTGTCTGACTGTCATGACGTCATAAATTGAACACAAAACCACTTATTACTAGCAGCCCATGAGGGTCACTATTACGCTGAGGAGTGCTGCCGACAGTGGATACTGAAGACGGAGCTGACCACCGTGCTGCATGGCAGCTGGATGTTCACCTGCAAAGAAAAAAATATTTAGTCATGATAACACTTTTTTTTTTAAGAATGATAATTTTCAAATTCAAAATCAAATTCAAAAATCATTTATTCATGTAGGACATTTTAGCCGCTTATGAACGTCAAATTTTTACATTCTAATTTTATTTTTTTTCCCTACCGTCCAGTTCGGTATATAGATCCAATTGAGAAGAACTGGCAAGAAACTCAATTGAATTACTTTTTTTTTTTTTAAAGCCAGTTTATTTACAATGTATATTTATATAGGTGTCTATGTCTAACATTAAATGAAAATTCAGTGCATGAACAACTATTGCCATGCACACTCGTCATTCAAGTAATCGTTTAGTGAGTAATAGGCTTTGCTCAATATGATTTAACAGATGTTTTGAATTTATTTAAGGGTAATTCCAACATATCCTTTGGTATTTTATTGTAAATTTTTATACCTATTCCCATAAAAGACCTATTGACTTTTTCTAAACGATACTTGGGGACAGCAAGTTCGTCTTTAAATCTAGTATTAATATTATGAATATTGCTGTTTTTTGGAAATAAGTCAAGATTTTTATGAACATATAGGATATTTGAATATATAAATTGAGAAGCAACGGTGAGAATAATGGAATAGTGCACCCGTCTGCGCTAACGGTTTACGCTGGCGGGGCACTAGTGGAGGATGATAAGATGACTAGTGGAACATGAGCTCAGGTCAGTTAACCCATCGTGATAGGGGGAAAGTGGACTGATAGTAATGTGGATTGATGATCTCCTTGCTAGCAATATATGTGGTACATTGCTATATATAATATACATGTGGACTTAATAACTTATTAATCGCAATGTACCATGTCAGATTGACCTCCACGTGGTTCCCCCTGAAAACCATTGTGATAAATTCCTGATGAATTTGTCACAATGGGCTAACTAGCCTGACCTTATCCTTATCTTATCATTCTCCATCCATCCATAGTGACAAATACACCAAGAATTTATCACGATGGTTTCCAGGGGGAACGTCGTAGCAATCGTCGTATTTTTTTTTATGATAATGGACAAAATAGACAACCTCGGTGGTCTAGTGGTTTAGCACACCGCTTTACGTCCGATGGTCGCTGGTTCGATTCCTCGCACAGCACAAACATTTGTATTCATGAGTATGATTGTTTGTACCGGTCTGGGTGTTTCTATGTATAATATGTATGTATTTACGAAAAACAAAAATATGTATTTGTATCAGTTGTCTAGCACCCATAATACAAGCTTTACCTAGCTTAACTTAGATTTAGTTGGCGCTGTGTGTATTGTCCTGAGATTATTATTATTTAAAATATCTTGTTGTACACTCGTAATTGGTAAACAATGTTTACAGAAATTGATAATCGATGTAACAAATTGTTTTGCTCAACGCAAAAGCGATTAATTGAGATCCATATTGATTGGTTGATTAATTATTTACCGACCAATGACTTGATGCTGGATTAAACGAGCCGTGTACAGATTGGAAGCATTGAGATGCGATTATTGAGACAAAGCAAAATTTATAATATTTATTAATACAAAATTATAACGGTCTATTATATTATCATTTTAACGGCCGTCATTTCATCATTACACGATTTTAATTACTTTAATTGATTATATCTAAAATATCGTGAACGATGATACGTCGTACTCGTGAACGGGTGCTGCTTGTGGGGACTGGTCTGTTTGATTACGAACACTGATTAGACTATTTTGCAATAGCATATGTTGGTGGTCATTCTATTCTTCCAAATTTGAATTTAAAAATGAATCTGTATTATTGTAAACATGTATAACATTTATTTGAAAATAATAAAAGATTACGCGCTGAGTTTCTTGTCAGTTCTTCTCATCTCGAATCATTCCGAACTGACGGTAGATTTGACATATCATAAGAGTCTGTAATAGACCTACATGAATAAAGATAAAAAAAACAAATACACACCAACAATAAAATGAAGTCTTAATTAATTAATAACACTTTAAACAATTATGTTGCTCAACCATGGCATCAGAATGGCGAATTAATGTTCCAGAGGACTCGATATGTCTGCTGGTGTTGGTCACTCTAATCTCCCAAATTTGAATTTAAAAATGAATCTGTATTATTGTAATCATGAATAGATAAGAGAGGATCTTACCTACCATTTTTCGATGTTCAACGATCTGCCGAACATTCTGTATAGAGACTAGCCGTCACCTACAACTTACTCTGCTGATTTTAGATATATGTTCTTACTTGTGACAATTATGACAAATTTCATTAAGATTCGTTCAGTCGGTTGGTGAGATTGTAACAAAAAGATAGACAGAAATACATCAAAATTTATAATAATAATAATATCTCAGGACAATTCATACAGCGACATCTAGTCCCAAGCTAAGCAGAGCTTGTGTTATGGGTACTAGACAACTGATATAAATACAGATATATTTCTTTTCTATATAAGCACATAATATAACATATAACACCCAGACCAATACAAACAATCGTACTTATGAATACAAATATTTTACCGTGCGTGGATTCGAACCCGAGATGCGATCATCGGAAGTATGGAGGTGTGCTATACCGGTCGACCATCGAGGCGTGAATATTAGTATTACAAATGAGTATACAAATACACTAGATCAGAAAACAGAAAAAAGATGAATATTTCATCTTAAAATTTGAGATTAGGAAATAGAAAAGGCAAGAGTCATTCTAAAATTTAGGTACTTTTATTTAAATTAAATTTTTATACCCAAAAAGGCAAATAACGTTATAACGTCTGTCCTCGTGTAGGGATTTAAGGCTATCCCTACACTTATCCCGAGCCATCTACTCTTAGCCGATAAGAAATCGCCAGGATAATCACAACAAGATGGTCCACACGATTACCGTTTGGTGACACGGAAATAAGGCATTAACGAGCTTCCTCAAGGATACCATCTAAGGGAAATTGGCGTAACGGTTGTTTTTTTAATATAATTTACATATCATTTATAAAAAATGAATCACATATATTTTTCGGACTGCTTTTACAGCTTCACAGGATGATGCAGAAGCTAGTGCAGATGGTACTCCAAACCTGCAGAAGGACTTATGGAAGCTGAATGCCAAATCGTTTTTAGTCTGAGGGCATAGGGATTCGAACCTCGGCTCAGGTCGTAGTAATTTCGATTCTCATTTGAATTGGATCGGGATCGATTGGAGGAGCGTAAAGATGATTGATTGCCACCGTCGAAGTATAAAAAAAAAGTTGTAGATAAAATTATTTAATTTTTAGATGTGGTATTATTATAACTAGCTATATAATTTTCTCTCCCAATAAATCAGTAGAGCTGTAGCATACATGAAATATCAGCTTAATGGTTTTTCCGTGGTCCTTCGAGCCGGATTTTGACCAGCGACCTATGGATGCTTGGCTGAAATAGGTGAGAGAGTAAACATGAATAGCAATACTATATCACGTCATCACGTAACATCATGCATTACCACAGAATATAAAATAGTGTACAACTTACCACTTAGAACATGGACGAGAACCGAACGAGGGTTGGCATTAGCTGGCGCGCAGGTATACCTGCCAGAGTCAGGAGCCTTCGCTCTCTGCACCAGGAGATGAGACGTCGTCGTCTCACCCTTCTCCGTGATCACTGACACTCCACCGCGGGGAGAATCGTAGTTGATCTCCTACAGAATAATATTATGGGATTGTTAGTAATGTGGATTCATTATCTTATTGCTAGAAATGTACCATGTCAGGTTGACCTCTACACGGTTCCCTCTGGAAACCATCGTGATAATTTTTTGGTGAATTTGTCACGATGAGCTAACTGACCTGACCTCATGCGTTAGCGCAGGCGGATGCACCAATCCATAATAATCCATCTAGACCCAAGTTGAGCTAGCTAAAGCTTGTGTTATGGGTACTAGACAACTGATACAAATACACAATTTTTTTGTTTTTCGTAAATACCTACATATTATACATAGAAAACACCCAGACCGGTACAAACAATCATATTCATGAATACAAATGTTTGTGCCGTGCGAGGAATCGAACCCGCGACCATCAGATGTAAAGCGGTGTGCTAAACCACTAGACCATCGAGGTTGTCTATTTTGTCTATTATCATAAAAAATACGACGATTGCATTATTAAAATAGTCATAAACGAGTTGTGTGTTTCATCAGGCGTGTATATCAAGTGATCCGTAGTTATCTAACTGCAATTGCTAGATATTTGGCTGCAGGTCATCCTAGGAAAGTTTACAGTTTTATTTACAATCGCTGGAGGAAGTCGCAGTCGATTTGAAACGATGCCAGCACCACAGTGATGGTCTGCCAGGAAATAAAATGGTGTCTACTACTTTTATATATGTCCTAGATTGACTAGGCGCAATTGTAGTTATGTATTAACATACAATAATTAAAATAGTAGTAACTAACTCATAAAGTACAATTACTACAACGTCACTTTTCCACGCAGACGAAGTCGCAAGTGCAAGCTAGTTTTTTATCTACTAGCCTAGCCTATATTTATTAGTACTTTTACTAGACTTCAAAAAAGATTGAATTAATAATGAAACTGTGGAAAACAAACTGATGTTGGAGAATAGAAAAAGAAGAAATGGGATAGGGATAACTTGTTGCCGTTGTTTGTTTGTTGGTTTCCTAGTATGCTAGATGATTAATTATGTATATCTAAATATATATAACTCAAAGGTGACTGACGTAGTGATCTATCAACGCACAGCCTAAACCACTGGACGGATCGGGCTGAAATTTGGCATGCATGTAGATGTTATGACGTAGGCATCCGCTAAGAGAGGATTTTGATAAATTCTACCCTCTAAGGGATTAAATAGGGGATGAAAGTTTATATGAATTAATAAACTTTGCATGTATAAAGCTACTATGGTGTAGACATCCCCTAAGAAAGGATTTTGATAAATTCCACCCCTAAGGGGTGTAAATTAACGCGAGCGAAGCCGCGGGCAAAAGCTAGTATTTTAAATATTTTTTATTGCGCTTAAATATATTTTATAAGTTTATTAATTAGAAATAATGTTAACAAAGGAGGACATTTCTCTAAAAGAGAGCTCTGCCAGTCAACCCAATACAGCGTGGCATAGGAAGTGTTGAGTGGGTCCAATCGTACAAATAATAATTGAATAAAAATGTCATAAATAATTAATATCAAGTTAGTAAGTATTTGATAAATAATAATTAATTAAAGATATAATTTTAGTAAAAAAATTATTAATCAACAAATTTAAATTGGGCTTCACTAAAGTAGATCAACAAAAGTCGTGATAGTTAACAATATTGGTCTACAAAAGTCTTGACAAATTTACTGTTGTACGATAGACGATTAATATTGTGCATATACTTAAACTATGGTATACATTAGTAGGTATTTACTCCATAAATAACAATTTATTGAAGTTTTTATTTGTGGTAAAAAACATTAATCACTCTTCAAATTGATCTCCACTAAAGTAGACCAACAAAAGTCCTGATAAAGTTAACAAGATTTAAAAGTCATGACAAATTTAATTTTGTATGTTAGACATTTAATATTGTACATATACTTTAACTATGGTACATATTATTATGTATTCGATAATTAACGATAATTTATTAGAGTTTTCGTTAGTAATAAAAAAAATATTAATCAACAAATTTAAATTGGACGCAACTACAATAGATCAACAAAAGTCAGGATCAAGTTAACACTCGATAAATAATAATTAATTAAAGATTTTATTTGTAGTAAAAAAAAATATTAATCAACAAGGTGTAGTGTTAGGAAGTGTTGAGTGTGTCAAATTGTGCAAATAATAGTTTAATAAAAATATCATAAATAATTAAAACCATATAAAATTTCAGTAAAAAAATTATTAATCAACAAATTTAACTTGGTCTCCACTAAAGTAGATCAACAAAAGTCGTGATAAAGTTAATGTTGTATGCTCGACACGAAACATTAAATTGTTTCTATCTATAACCGTTCGTGAATCAGGCTCCACTGTCCTCATTTACATTTTTGGAATGGATCCAAATGAATAAATTTCGCGGAGATTTCATTAACTTTAACCAATGAATGCTTTTGTCTCGAGTCCTCTGGAACATTAATCAACAACAAATCAAAAATATTTCGCCATTCCGATGCCACGGTTGAGCAACGTCATTGTTTAAGTGTTATTAAGTATTTGACTTCATTTTATTGTTGGTGTGTGTGTCTTTTTTTTACTTTATTCATGTAGGTCTATTACAGACTCTTATGATATGTCAAATCTACCGTCATGCGTCATTTTGGAATGATTTCGAGATAATACTGACAAGAAATACAGCTCGTATTCTTTTTAAATAAATGTTACACATATTTATAATAATACAGATTCGTTTTTAAATTCACTTTTGGGAGAATAGAGTGAACACCAGCATATGCATTTGAAAAAGCAAATAGTATAATCAGTGTTCGTAACCCAAACAGACCAGTCCATACAAGTTTTGTTTTATTTTATTTTAGTACGGACCAGATTTGAACTCACATTCATAGAGTTTGAGGTCGGTCATCCATCATATAGATAATAATATTTAATTAATATATAAATGTCAATTCATTGATTGAATTAACAGATGAAAATAGTCTAACAATATTTAGGTTTTACGTCAAAACTGATTTCAGAGAATATATTGGTAAACATGAGTCAACAAATAAGCTAAAAAGGCGACTATATCCAGTAAAGAAATAATAAATGAAAATTTCTCAGAATAAATATGTGACCCATATTTATTCTGAGACATATAAGTTAAAAAAAAAATAAGAAAAACAGCCGGTAATGAAATGAAATAATTCATTTTGGAAATATTTTCAATACGCCATTTAATAATTAAAATAGTTAATTAATTAATTAAATAAAAGAGGGTAATTATACATGCTCGGTTTATTGTCATCAAATAATATTAAAAGATATTAAAAGATGGTGCATTACAAATACAGACAAATATGTGCCGCGAACGCCGGTAGAAGTAATTTTTATTTAAATACACTTTATGTAATACTAACTTTTGCTCGCGGTTTCGCTCGCCTTAATTTATTCCCATAGGGGTGGAATTTATCAAAATCCTTTCTTAGGGGATGGCTACGTCATAGTAGCTTTATGCAAGCAAAGTCTCAGCCCGATCGGTTTAAAATTGACGCATTTCATATAAACTTTCATCCCCTATTCTATCCCCTTGGGGATAGAATTAATCAAAATCCTTTCTTAGCGGATACCTACGTCATAACATCTGCCTGCATGCCAAATTTCGTTGCGTTGACAGATCACTATGTCAGTCACCTTTGAGTTATATATATTTAGATTAATGATTAATAGGATTTTTTTTAAATCCTTAAGATAATGATTAATGATGAAGAAGTAGACATATACTTCTTTATCATTCATCATCAATATAGATAAAAAAAATATCAATAAAGGAACCAACCTCATCACTGTGAGTCCACCTGATGGTCGGTGGTGGTTCTGGAGAATGCTGCACCACGCAGGTAAGGTTGATAGTGCTTCCTGTGTTGATGAACAGCTCTGGTCCACCCAGTATCGTCGTCAAAGGTTCTGCTTGAACATAAAATTATATGGTCAAAGTAAATATAGAAATCTGTAAAAATAATTATGGAGAGCTAGGTGTTGCCGCGGTATTTTATAGCATATGTGTTATTCTGATGTATAAGCTACTGGCTTACGAGCGCAACTGTATGTCTGTATCATACTTACTTGACATTTATCATCGTATTGTATCCAATTTACATAATAACTATTTAAACTATAGCCAATGTCTTATTCTGATGTACAAGCTATATTACTGTAAAGTTGCAACAAAATCTGTGCAGTTGTTTATGCGTGCTAAAGCTAAAGGTTTAATTCGATTTTTCTAAAAAAAAATCATCCTAAACTTTAAGTAGCCTAATTTACTCCTTATTACATCAGCTACTTGCCAAAGAGCCCCGTAAAAAGCCATTTAAGGGATTAGGCGGAACAAACAGACAGACATACAGATAAAAATTGTAAATAATGTTATTTTGGTGTATGTACCGTATTTATATTCAGACGCATGTAGTAAAAAACGGTTATTTCAATATTATAAACAATTTTATTTATATGTACAGACTAGTATTAAATTTAATATTTTTTTTTTCTTTTAAATCTGTTTATAAGTTCTTCAACAACAAACTTTACAATTAATCTGAAACTACTTTAGAAAGATTTAACATAACATTATTAAGTTCTTCACTTTACAAGCTCTTCGTTATAAGTTTTCGTGGGCTGATTACCTAATATTTTTCCAAGGCGATCGATTTCTTTATTCTGCAAGTCGACTCAACATCAAAGTTCCATAATTGGAAGCCATCAAAATAGCTAGTTAATCATAAAAAGAAATTTCAGCACATCGCGAAACTTTTGAATGAGCTCAAATACAGAATTTTCCGAGAAATATTATTACGTCTTGCCTTCTTTCGGTAGCAGAAAATAATATACAGATAGCATCGTTATTACCTCAACAGTAAATAACTTTCTTGCCTTTGTGCTATATTCTTTGAAGTGTTCAAGGATCAAATTCACATATATAATAGAACATCGCCGGTACAGGTTTAGCACACCGCTTTACTTCCTATTGTCACAGGTTCGATTCCTCACACGGTACAATAATTTGTATTCATGGATATGATTGTTATGGCTTTGGGTGTTTTCTATTAATATTATGTATCATCATCTGCTTCTTCCTTATCCCATTTATTTGTGGTCGGCGTAATATGTTTTTCTCTTCCATTCATCTCTGTTCGCAGTCATCGCGTTATTTACTACCTTTCTTACCATATCATCTTTCACACAGTCCATCCATCTCTTTTTCAGCCTTCCTTTGCCTATAACCATCCACATTCATATGTAACACCTTTCTTAAAATCCTCATTCCTACGCATTACATGTCCATACCATGATAGACGATTATTCTTCAACCTCTCTGACACCGGCGTCACTTGTATGTATATTATATATATTAAAAAAAAAAGTATATATATCAGTTGTCTATTACCCATAACTCAAGCTTACCATGGGACTAGATGGCACTGTGTTAATTGTGCAGGGTTATTTATTTATAGGGTTTCATAAAATGAGGCAGTAAACTGATACGAGTCCAAGCCTACTCGTTCGCAGAGAGTGGTCTAAAGATAGTTTATTATCTATCCTGACGTCATACTACGGATCAAATTAAACTAGATTTGTAATTATTGTGAAAAATTTAATACAATATAATATAGGGAAAATACATATATTAACATAAAAAAAATAACGCTTGTAAATGGGTAAAATGCCCTACATGAATAAATGTTTTTTGATTTGATTTGATTTGATATGTATTAAGAGTCTGTAAAATGTTAACAGTTATTCAAATATATAAAATTCTCTTGTAACAAGACTTCTCTGGAACAGCTCGATGGATTCTTATCAAATTTTGTGTTGTTTTTTGATTTGATTTTATTTGATATGTATTAAGAGTCTGTAAAATTTTAACAGTTATGCAAATATATAAAATTCTCTTGTAACAAGACTTCTCTGGAACAGCTTGACGGATTCTTATCAAATTTTGTGTTGTTTTTTGATTTGATTTGATTAGATTTGATATGTATTAAGAGTCTGTAAAATTTTAACAGTTATTCAAATATATACAATTCTCTTGTAACAAGACTTCTCTGGAACAACTTGACGGATTCTTATCAAATTTTGTGTTGTTTTTTTGATTTGATTTGATTTGATAGGTATTAAGAGTCTGTAAAATTTTAACAGTTATTCAAATATATAAAATTCTCTTGTAACAAGACTTCTCTGGAACAACTTTACGGATTCTTATCAAATTTTGTGTTGTTTTTTGAATTGATTTGATTTGATAGGTATTAAGAGTCTGTAAAATTTTAACAGTTATTCAAATATATAAAATTCTCGTGTAACAAGACTGCTCCGGAACAGCTTGACGGATTCTTACCAAATTTTGTGTGTAAGTATATTCACTAGGTGTGAGAATAGGATGTAAAATATTTTTCATACCCCTTAGTAATAAACATTTTTTTTTGACATTATTTTTTTTTGTTTAACATCAAAATATATACAACCCCAAATTTTCACACTTCTACCATCAATCGTGATAAAAAAATATTGACGCAGCTGGAATCGAATCACGCGAGCTTCAAACTGTTCAGAGGCTGTTGTGTACCGCCGCTACCGTAATAATTTTGTCGACCACAAAGTCTATGTCAATATTATTTTGTATTTTATTATTTTCTATATATGTTAGTCCTTAAGGTATATATAATATGGGCCAATATTATAAAATAAATAATAAAATATTATACTTAAATATAATTTAATTAACAATCTCCATTTTATACCAATCCTTTTCTAATAACATCCGTTAACTGTTTGTCAGACGTCAATATTTTTGCGACATATTCAAACATAAACCTCCTCTTATTCGTAGGCCAAGTAAGCTCTATTGGGTTTACTAAAGCAAAAAGAAATATAAGCGAATATTTTGTGGCATTTGTAAACCCGCGTCTATGCCTAACATCCGATTTATCCATATTTTGCTGAACTCATTTGAATTCAACGTGTCGGAGCGCGAATCCACTCCCGTCTTTCAGATCAAACAAATTTGTTAGCACAAAGAACTCGACGAATCGAATTAATTCAACTTAAATTGACTTAATCTCTTTTAATTGGAGTGGCATACAAGCTGATTTCTTCAGTGGTAACTCTCATCTATATAAATGAGTAGCATCAAGGATTTGTGAATTTGATGTAACGTCTGTGGTGAGCGATTATATATGTGACATAACGTCTGTGGTGAGCGATTATATTTGTGACATAACGTCTGTGGTGAGCGATTATATTTGTGACATAACGTCTGTGGTGACCGATTATATTTGTGACATAACGTTTGTGGTTAGCGATTATATTTGTGACATAACGTCTGTGGTGAGCGATTATATATGTGACATAAAGTCTGTGGTGAGCGATTATATTTTTTGTAACTGTTCGTGAACACTCCCTGCAGGATACATACTACAATAAATGCATTTAGTTCCAAAATTTCTTGTTTATTTTGCTGTTTCCAATTATTTATTGTGATGCTTCGGTGGTCTAGCGCCTTAGCACATAACCTTACTTCTAATGGTGGCGGGATCGATTTCTAATAAATACACCACAGACGCCGTCAAAATTATGTTCTGTAATGTTAGTGGTCCGAAATTGTCCACGATTTGTAGTTGTATAGTTTTAATAGGATTTAGAAAAGTTACTTACCGACAACGGAGAGGAACATTCGATGTCCAATGGGCGGAGTGGTTCCAACTTGACACTCGTACACGCCCGAGTCTCGGCGCTGTGGGAATCTTATCTGTACAATAGAAACAGATGATTTAGTATTAGTACCGCTAATATTTATTAGTAACTATCTAACTTTGAATCGGAAAATGCGCCGAGTCAACGTTATTTTTGTGATATAACGCCTGTGGTGAGCGATATATTTGTGATATAATGCCTGTGGTGAGCGATTATATTTGTGATACAACGCTTGTGTAATATAACATGAGGGGTGTCACAGACGCGAAACGTGAATTGCGTTTGTGACACCCCTGGTATTTCAGGAGTTCAAAGACAACAATAATCGTTTACCATCAATTGTGCTGTATGCTTGTTTGCCACCATCTTCTTCTTCTTAGTCGGTACACTCTTGTCAGAGTGGTCGTGGTCAACATTTTGAATCACGATGAGTGAGGTTTTGTGCTTGTCCTTTTTCAAAGTTCGCTACCTAGACCCGACAGGGACAACAATTGAAGAATATTTTTAGGAGCAATGGCTTTTATCTCCTCAGGATAGAGTGCATACTTTCCAAAGGAGATATTTCATTTATGCATGAGTGGACTACAACCACATAAGTTTGTATGGCGTTTCCTCTTTTGAAAATCTGCAGATTGATGTTAAGCTAAGATCTAATTTCGTAATTTGTTTATTCAATTTGCAGTGTCCAATGAGTGCCCTAATCATGATGCATATATTGTATATTTGTATTTCGAATATGAACACTTTCAACTTGTAACTCAGAGGGGTAAGTCAAATATTGTTCAGACCCTGTGAGTGAGGGTCGAGATTGGTGCGGTACGTCATTTATTAGGGCGGGATGCGGTTTTTATATAATAACTAGCTAACCCGGCAAACGTTGTTTTGTCATATAAATTAATCAGTTATCGACAGCCGAGAGTAAAATTATTAAAGTACTAATATCGCTATTCAAAAATAGGGGTAGAAGGGTGAATATTTAGGGTTGTATGTATTTACAAGGGGTAATCATAAAAATATTGTTTAAAACAATGGGGTGGCCCTTATCACTTGTGCGTATGAACATAGGTTACGTCCTATTCTAAAATCTACTGAATATAGAAACTAAATTTTGTATTAAACGGTCGTGATATTTCGATTTGGTCGAGTTTTGTTACAAATAAAATCAAAATAAAACGTGAAAACATTATTTTTATGCCAGTAGATATGTTTCCAAGTATTCTACGGAAAAAGTGAAGATTTCCAATTTGTTTTGTACGTCATTAAAACTGCAGTCGTCTGCTTATTGTAGACTTGTTAGTTCCACGCTATGATTTGTGAATCTAGGAACTGACAATACAATGTACAACTACAAAATGATTATGTTTCTACTTTAGTATTGATTTACCTGAACAGTCTATTAACTGACCTGACGTCATGTCCATCCTATTGTCTTCCACTGACACCCCGCAAGAGAATTCAAAAATCATTTATTCATATTGGAAATTTTAACGTAACATTTTACAACGTAAAATTTTTTAAATTATAATTTTTTCCCTACCGCCCAGTTCAGTATATAGATTCAATTGAAAAGAACTAGCAAGAAACTCAATTGAACTACTTATTTTTTTTAAAAATCTGGTTATTTACAGTGTTTATTTATATAGGTGTCTATGTCTTACATTAAATGAAATGAACAACGATTGTCATGCACGCTCGTCATTTAAGTAATCGTTTAGTGAGTAATAGGTTTCGCTCAGTAAATATGATTTAACAGATGTTTTGAATTTATTTAAGGGTAACTCCAGTATATCCTTTGGTATGTTATTTAAAATTTTTATAAAAGACCCATTGACTTTTTTAAACAAACTTGCTGTCCTTAAGAACAGCAAGTTTGTCTTTAAATCCAGTATTAATATTATGAACATTGCTGTTTTAAGAGCAGGTGCACTATTCAATTATTAAAATTTGGCCCAGGTCCCCATAAACTATCCTCACAGTACATTTATGAAAATATTATGTATACAAGGAAAAATTTAGATAGTTTCAATAAACTTAAAGACTGTACAAGTAGAAACTTACGCAATAAAAATGAGCTAATTTTACCTAAATGCCGTCTACACAAAGTTAGTAATTCATTTTATGGCAATTGCGTAAGATTCTATAATAAACTGCCAGAGTCTACGCTAAATCTTACAGAGAGGCAATTCAAATCTTATATTAAACAAATGTTATGTAAAAAAGCCTATTATAAAATAGATGAATTTATAGATGATAGCAATATATAGCAAGAATAAGTTTATTTGCGGACAACGTTATAATTTTTTAATTTTCATACTGCTTTCTTGATATATGATAGCGTAGCGGCTTTTGTATTGATTGCCGCATGCATCCTTATGTAAAGTGCGAATACTGTAACTACCATATAGTAATTTATGTAGCTGTGACGTGGTCGTGTGTAATGAGTAGTCATGCTCACTAAAATGTCCAGACATGTGGCGGCGTGGTGGGCCGGATCAATGGGCTCCCTAAAATATGGTCGAGCGCAGTGATGGCTGGCTCATCCGTCATACTCGTGAAACGAGTGCTGCTTGTAGGGACTGGTCTGCTCTTATCACTACGACTGATTTAATCTTATTGCATATTTATATTTGACCCAAAAATTAGTGCTTGTTGGTAGTTTATATTCACACGTTTCGACTTGTAAATGTAAACTTACAAGGATTATTTAAAAGAGCAACACACAAGTTTCTTGCTCGTTCTTCTTATGATGAGACAGCTTTCCGAACGAGTGGTAGATAAAAAACAAATTGTTATGACTATTCAAAAGTGCTTAAATTAAGTTTATTTGAATAAATGATTTCTATTCTATTCTATTCTATCCACCTCCATGAAGGAAAACTAGTGGCCGAAGGGAGTGTACCGGCGCTACCATGGCAGATTGCCATAGTGAGTGTGATGACCACAAGAACAATATTATTATTTTATTTCATACTAGCTGTTCCCACGACTTCGTCCGCGTGGAATATTATTTTATTTTTCTGAAATGAAAGAACTTTTCTAAAATAATAGTAGCCTACTCCTTATTACATCAGCTACCTGCCAAAAATATTCCGTCAAAATTGGTCCAGCCATTTCAGTGACTAGCCGTATCAAACAGACCGATAGACAGACAGACAAAAATTGTAAAAAATGTTATTTTAGTGTACGTACCACATTTACATTCATATGCATATAGTAAAAAACAGTTATTTCAATATTACAAACAGACACCCTAATTTTATTTATATGTATAGATATATTATTATATAAATAAGTTAAGTTAAGTTATTTATATAATAATATATCTATACATATAAGTTAAGTTTAAGTTGCCAAAGTTGCCTGAAGTTGTTGAAGTTAAGTTGCCTGAAGCAAAATAAATAACAAAAATGATACTCACCTTTAAGATCCAATCCTCAGTGTGAGGATTGTGTACACTGATAAACCTCTGGTCAGATGTGTATGTCATCCTCCCAGACGTCAATAGATGTATATCCCGGTGTCGAATCCATGATACCTGATGACAAAAGATAAATATACTAATATTTGTGACTTTTTTTGGATTTACCCATAGAAGTTATTCTATCAATTTGTTATATATATTACTAGGTATAACTCTATTATATATTTACATAATATCCTTTAAAATTATAGCCTAAAATGTATATATGTTATATTACTGTAACAAAATCCGTTAAGTAGTTTTTGCGTGAAAGAATAACAAACATCTATCAATACTCACAAACTTTTACGTCTATATTCTCAAATAAGATATAGATTGTACAAAAAAATGTCAAGAAATATGATTTTAAAATAATATACAAATCCATCAAGGAGTTCGCTACAATTACTATTTAGGATTCCCGAAAATTGAGTCCAAAATATAGAGAATTCATCCCAAACCATTAGTCAGGGTTGAAGCTTACCGCTCGCGAGATGGAAAACTGAGAGCCATTCATGTAAACAATACTAGAATTTACATTATACACGGCTCAAGTACTTGAAAAGCGCTTATAATATCTTAGAGAAGTCTTTTATGTGTTCAAAATATTCACAAAGGCATTATTTAGTGTTGAAAGGTTGACACGTGGAGCCATTTAGATGGGACGATTGTTGTTGGGTTTAGGAAGGTCTTGCAACCTCGGATTTGAATTTAAAGAAAGCTGGCTATGATAAGGATTTTATGACGTCGCTCCGAGTTTTTATTTGTACTAGCTGAGCTGCGCAACTTCGTCTGCATATCATAATGTAAAATTAATATATTGTCTCATTTTAGTAACTATTTTTTAATGATCATCATCTACGTCTTCCTTATCCCATTTATTTGTGGTCGGCGTAATATGTTTTTCTCTTCCATTCATCCCTGTTCGCAGTCATCGCGTTATTTACTACCTTTCTCATCTTTCACACAGTCCATCCATGTCTTTTTCGGCCTTACTCTGCACTTATAACCATCCACACTCATATGTAACACTTTCCTCCTTAAAATATTATCTTCATTCCTACGTTTTTCATTGATGATAGCGTGATGTGATGCTCGTGAATGAACACTGCTTGCAGGGACTGATCTGCTCTGACTGGTAACTGACTTATTTTGTTACTCTAGTAGCTATTAAATTTATATAATTTTGTGAATGTTGTTATTTGGTAATTTGCATTCATGCTTAATACTAAATATTTAATGCTGAACAACTTAAAAAGGCATACATATATTGTTATCTACATGTATGTTATAGTTACATAAGTATATTGTATTGACTCTTATGTACAACTTAATTATGTATCACAACCTATAACTGTATAAAATATATATATATATATAATCTACTAACTGCCCTGCGCAACTTCGTCTGCATCACACTTACTTGACATTTATCATTATATTTCGCCCAATTTATATAATATCTTTTTAAAGTATAGCCTACATATTATTCTGATGTATAAGCTATATTACTGTAAAATTTCATCAAAATCCGTTCTGTAGTTTTTGCGTTAAAGAGCATCAAACATTCGCTTTTATAATATAAGTTGCCAAAAACTCGGCTAGAGAAACATTTTTTGGAAATTAAATAGAACTTATCACCGTAACAAATAATATTATCATAAACACAAATTATTGTAATAAATAAATAGAAATGGAATATAAAATAAACATGATGTAGACACTTTTGTTATATTTTGATTGTGAAATGTTAAATGTTACATAAATATTATGGAAGGCCAACCAACATAATATTCTGTAAGTCCATTGTTATTTCTTACTTTGTAATATGAAAATGTATTTCATATTAATAACATGATTATACAAGTCAAGAGTATAAACTCTTGACCTGTATGTAAACATATAAATGTTTGCAACTAATTGTCATATTAAAAAAACCTTTTTGCATTTGATAGCCCGTGATATCAAATATAATATACATGTTACCTTTACCAACGAAAATAAAAACCTTACCCAAATTTCAATAGATCGGTTAGTTAGTCGGAATTATAAATTGACTGGATTTGAACTCGCAACGTTCTGTCTAAGTCAGCGTAGCGTGTTCAGTGGTTAGGACTAATTCAATAAGTAAAAAAAAATTAACCCTAAATAAATAATCCAAAACAATTAACATAGCGTCATCTAGTACCCACGATAAGCAGAGCTTGTGTTAACTAGACACAAGTAGACAACTGATATAAATACTTAGATATTTTTATGTAATTAATATGTATTTAATAGTATAATATACATAGAATACACACAGGTCGAAACAATCATACTCATTAATGCAAATGTTAACACCGTGTGAGAAATCGAACCCGCGACCATCGGAAGTAAAGCGACTGGTATGCTAAACTGCTAGACCTCCGAGGCCGTCTACTTAAAAACAAACAATATACAATAAATAATAATATTCCAATTTCAAAATAACTGTATTCCAAATTCAAAACTCTACTCAAATATGAAATAAAAAAATATAATTCGAAAAACGAATACATTCCACAAACAAAGGTTGTCTACAATTTTCATTATACAATTTCTTTTAGGTACCCTTTACACGTTTCCATTGTGCAAACATTTCAATTCTAGATTAGAATTTTTCATTCGCTTATCTTTAGTAACAATGGCTAGTAACCGTTGCCTCGAAACGGAGCAAAGTTATATTGTTATTGTGGTATGAAACAAAGCCTATATAGTACGGACCAATTATAAACTAAACGATTTGTGATACAGGACCGTTTACCGCGGTGTTATTTCGTCCGCTTCATTACTGTGGATTATTCGGCTGCGTTGATTTCCAACTAGTAATTGTGGGTTAGAATTTTGGAGGCTTTAATTGATGGTGAATGTTTTTAGGACATTATAAGCCAATGGTTGAGAATATATTGAATATGGTTCTCAATATAATTTAATAAAATATAGCAAGCACAAATTTTAGAAATTTATTTGTACTTAGAATTAAAAAAATCGTTGAGAAAAATTATTAAATATGTTCTGGCAGTATGTCTATAAATATAACAAATTTGGGCCTTGGTCTATCTAATGGTTTAGCATACCGCCTTACTATCTAATGGTTTATCATACCTCTTTACTTCGGATGGTCCCGGATTGGATTCTACGCACGATACAAACATTTGTATGATGTGATCGGTCTTGATGTTTTTTATGTATGTATTTAAAAAAAAGAAAATGTATTCATGTATTTATATCAGCTGTCTACTATCCATATCAGCTCTGATTACTGTGGGGCTAGATGGCGCTATATTAATTGTTCAGGATTATTTATTAAGGTTAATTTACTTTTTTTTTCTTACTTTATTGTTTTCATTGTTTCAGTTTCTGAAAACAAAAAAGCACTGTAAACAAAAACGCTACTCTGATTTAGACAGAAGGACCTGTAATATAAACTCTGCTTATCTTGGGACTTGAAGAAAATGTATGTATGTATGTATATCAGTTGTCTAATAGCCGTAACACAAGATCTTAGCTTAGAAATTAGGGACGCTGTGTGCATTGTCCTGAGACATCTTCATTATTATTACTTACTGTTCTGTTCCCAAGATCGTGAACTCGGCAGTTCAGCTGTGCAGTCTTCCCAACTAGTGCGGTCACGTTCTTCGAGTATGCAATATCGAAGTGTGGTCCCCGCTGTGTCAGGCCAAGATCCACGTCAGTATAGTCAATTTCTGGCACTCCATCGCTGCCCAGTCCATTTGCATTGTCAGTGCAACCTGTAGAATTATAGTTACGTTAGATTTTTTTACTTAATGGGAACAGCAAACAACTTGATAGCCCACCTAATGGTAGGCGGTTGAAACATCATTGAATATCAATGCCTAATCTGGACCCTACAACGAAACACAATTTACAAAGCAAGCACAATGATAAACATTCATAGTCTGCCTTTGTTTATGAATATTTAATATAAAAATACATTCAGCAAAAGTATATTCAATAGAAGATGAAATTTATGTTAAATTTTATATAAAAAATCATTAAAATTGCATTGCATTTCTGTGTATTCATATATTGCTTGTAATTTTTGTATATTTATATTTATATATCTATGTATGTGTATATTTTATATATAGTATGTATAATGTGTGTTATTTTCTAATATTTATTAGTATTATTATCCTATCCCAATTATTACCTTTATATATATATTCTTCCATTCTATTCATGCGCCACCTACCACTTTTGTTGTATTTTCTCTACCTAAAGGTTGTTTCTAGCGATAAGACCGCCTTTTGTACTTCCATACCTCTTTTCTGTATAATCCTTATGTTACGAGTATATACCGTCTACTTATTAGTTTGTGATTTAATATATTACGAGTAATAGTTGTTGTCAAAATATAGATTGACATCAGTGTAAATATATTATAAAAGGGGCAATAGAATTATTCTGCAAACATACATATTATTTATCAACAAAAAGGAACCCCACCACAACACCTTATGTATTAATTCTATTGGTGCAATAAAGAGTTTATAAATAAATAAAATTGGTTTGGTATGTACAAACGATTATATCATCTGGAATTAGAATTCTCGACAATCAAAGGTAATTTAAATTTAAATTATTGCTAAGTCATAATTAAAAAACTTCCAACTATGTAGGTACGTCAAATTTTCGTCCTATTTTGAACCTTGTTGTTACCTTAAAATGTTATGTTCCAAAATAACAATTCCGGAACAATAGGTTACCAATAAATTCTCAACCAGCTCGCTCCTGAACTGGTTGAGAATGTATACACAGTAGCCGAGATGCGGAAATTTTCTCACAGGAAAATTTGATTTCTCGAGCGAATGTCGGTCGCCTAGATATTCATTATTTATTAGGTCAACAGCGATAGAAAATCATAGTCGATATAGTGTTGCAATAAAATGATATCGAGTTTATTAAAGTGCATGAATTTAACAGGATCAAATTCAAATTCAAATTCAAAAATCATTTATTCATGTAGGACATTTTAGCCGCTTATGAACGTCAAATTTTTACATTATAATTTTATTTTTTTCCCTACCGTCCAGTTCGGTATATAGATCCAATTGAGAAGAACTGGCAAGAAACTCAATTGAATTACTTTTTTTTTAAAGCCAGTTTATTTACAATGTATATTTATATAGGTGTCTATGTCTAACATTAAATGAAAATTCAGTGCATGAACAACTATTGCCATGCACACTCGTCATTCAAGTAATCGTTTAGTGAGTAATAGGCTTTGCTCAGTAAATATGATTTAACAGATGTTTTGAATTTATTTAAGGGTAATTCCAACATATCCTTTGGTATCTTATTGTAAATTTTTATACCTATTCCCATAAGACCTATTAACTTTTTCTAAACGATACTTGGGGACAGCAAGTTTGTCTTTAAATCTTGTATTAATATTATGAATATTGCTGTTTTTTGGAAATAAGTCAAGATTTTTATGAACATATAGGATATTTGAATATATAAATTGAGAAGCAACGGTGAGAATATTTGCCTCTTTGAATTTCTCTCTTAATGAGTCACGACTCTTCATACAGTAGATCGCTCGAACGGCACGTTTTTGTAATATGAATATATTTTTAATATCTGCCGCTTTTCCCCATAGTAATATTCCATAAGAGAGTAAACTATGAAAATAACTAAAATAGACTAATCTAGCAGTATCAGTATCAGTGTACTGTCTAACCTTACGCACGGCAAAAGCTGCTGAACTTAGTTTCGCTGCAAGGCTTTGAATTTGTGCACCCCATTGTGTTTTATTATCTAGTGTGATTCCTAGAAAGACAGTAGATTCTATAAATTCCAGAGATTCGTCATTTAATTTAATATTGCAATTAGTATTAAAACTTTTAGACAGAGAGAAATTAACACATTTTGTTTTTTTAGCGTTTAACATAAGATTGTTAGTTGTAAACCAGTGCAGGAGACGCCGCAAAGCACTATTTACATCGTCATAATTATTAGTCATTCTATTAACTTTAAAAATCAATGAAGTATCGTCTGCAAATAATACTATTGCATCTATCCTGCATGGCATATGGGAGATCATTAATGTAAACTAGGAATAAAAATGGACCGAGAATAGATCCTTGAGGTACACCCATTTGCACAAGTGACCCGTCAGACGTAGCGTTGCTAACCTTCACTTTCTGTATTCTATCAGATAGATAAGATTTTATTAAATTTAAAGCATTGTCTTTGACGCCATAAAAAGCAAGTTTTTTTAGCAATGTATTATGATCAACGCAATCAAAAGCCTTAGAAAGGTCACAAAAAACACCTATCGCATCCATTTTAGTTTCCCATGCAGCAAATACGTGTCTAAGCAACTCTGCACCTGCGTCTGTAGTTGAACGACCTTTGGAAAAACCGAATTGACTATTGTGGATCATTTTAAACTTAGACGGGAATAAAAAATATTTATTACTATATACGTTTTTTCACTTCTACTTCTTACTCTCCATAATTATTCATAAAAATATAAAACAAATAAGAAAGTTTATAATTACAGACATAGTCTAAAATAATGTCGCTGTCGCTGTCTGTTCGTCCCTAATGTATGCTTCAATCTTTAAACGGATTTTGAAGCGGTTTTTTTTAATGGATGGAGTGATTCAAGAGGAAGGTTTATATATATAATACATATACACCCGTGCGAAGCCGGGGCGAGTAGCTAGTTATGAAAAGAAACATCTAACACAATAAAAATATTACTACTTTTATATTATTACCGTTCTTAATAATGTTTGTAGCATTTAAGTAATGTTTATGCTTTCTAGGCTAAACTTATTGGACAAATTTGTTCTGTATGTATAACATCTCTTTATGTAATCACGCATATTTTAGAAATAAAGAATCTTGTATCTTGAATATGAGTAATTATATAATAATGAATAGTGTTTATATAATATAAACATTATTAAGTATTCAATAAAAGTCATTGAAATTATATAAGAATATATATAATATATAAACCATATAGATAATCAACAATAGTCAAAACACACATAGTATATCGATTCATAAAATTCGAGATAGAGTCGCGAAATAGTCACAAAATGAACACCACTTTTTTAAAATCCGTCGAAAACGTGCCGTCGTATTGTAGGACGTTTTCATCGTAGTTGCAGTGACGTGACGCAACAAACGTGCTATTCCTCGCCACAAGTATTATAATAGTCAAATATATTGCGGTCATAATTCAACATGAGTACAATAGCTGTCTTTGCCTTGAATGGTGGCAATAATGCTCCGTCGAGACAAAAGTTGAACGGTAGCATGTTAAAATAATTATTATACTTGTTGTTTTATGCTCTTGTATGAGCCATAACGACATAAAGATAGCGTACTTTGTAACTTAATATTAACGTACTCGTTGATGCAACAAAAGCTTAGTGTTGGCATGGACGGAATATTAAACTTTGAAAGTGGTATGACATTTACGATGTTCAGTATTGCTCACTTAGTATTTATTAACTATGTGTGAGTACAACATTTGAAAAGAGTGAGAATAGAAAATGATAATTGGAATAGAAAAGAAGAAGTACCAAGTCTTTACGTGATGGCCGAGGTACTATTCATGCTTTGCCACTTCGGACAACTAAGATATCATGCCTCTTACTCTGTAATTTCATTACCTATTCTCACTCTTCAACCGAAACACATCTTTCAAAGAAAACTACTTATGACTGAAATAGTAAGACTAAGGTGCGCAGATAACATTTTACAAAGTTTACCTTGGACTATTTTATACTGCGGCGTGATATGGTTGGAACCACCACCAGCCTATGTTATACATTGATAATATAGCTATATACACGTGATATATATTTAGAATTGATCTAATATTTTATTTATTTGTTCAACTTTAATTCATATAGTATCTAAGCAATTGTAGTATTTTAATTTTTTACTTATTTGTCGCTGGAAGAAATTTATATGTATTATATAGGCCTAGATTAGATACTAGTGGTAACTTCTCTGAAATATATGTGTATTTAATAAGGATATTCGTTTATGAGAATTACTGTTTTAGAAATGTAATGTTAATAAATTATTGTTTTTGTTTTATATATTACTACAATAGGTAGTACATTTAGCAGACTTAATTCCATACGGGATGTACTACATTTTGTGTATACCGTTTGGAAACAATTTTTAATATCACGCTTCAAATTGAAGTAAATTGATTATATAACAGTACAGTGCTATTTATAGTAAACGAATGTATCATTTGTCTATTTCCTCCTTTTGTTATGAACAAAAATAGCATATTTTTTATAAAATACTAGCTTTTGCTCGCGGCTTCGCATGCGTTAATTCAACCCTTTAGGGGTGGAATTTATCAAAATCCTTTCTTAGCCTACGTCATACTAATTTTATGCAAGCAACTGAGACTTTGCTTCGTCGTAGTAGATTTATGTATGCAAAGTCTCAGCCCGAGCGGTTTAAATTTGACGAAGTTTCATAAAAACTTTCATCCCCTTGGGGGTAGAATTAATCAAAATAGTTTCTTATCGGATACCTACTTCATAACATCTACCTGCATGCAAAATTTCAGCCCGATCCGTTCAGTGGTTTGGGCTGTGCGTTGATAGATTACTATGTCAGTGACCTTTGAGTTATGTATATATATTTAGATTGCCAACGTTTTCAAGCAAGGGAAGCGACATGAAGGGAAATAGAGCGAGACACAATCAGCCTAAACCCTAATCGATTAAATGCCCTTATA